AGGTTGGCCAATGGTCTAGCTTTAAAAACCAGCAAATACTAGATTTAATGTGACAAGAAAATCTTAGGCATGATGATTTTAAATGGACAAATAATTCACACATGCATGTGTATGTGTACATATTCATTATCATTTACAAGAGGGTACGTGCTATGTGTTTTCTTGAAATCTGACAATCTATAATAGTTCACAACTCAAGCAATTGAGAGAGGTTGACGAGCAGTCAGCACATAATTTACAATTAAGGCAGTTAAGAAAGGTTTCCCCCAGTTGCAAAATTTTAGGAGTAACGGAAATTATTGAAACATGACCAACATGATAGCCTCAAAATAACGGGAACAACCAAAATGCCATTTCCTTTTAGAAGTCTAGATTTTTGTATTTTTTTTCTAGAATATAAATGGCGAAGAGAAATAAATTGCAAAAAATATGGAAGGGAATTCGGGAAGTCAGATAAGTGGAAAGTCTCATACATAACAAATAATGTGTAAATTATGGGGGAAATATTTTTGGAATATTAAAAAAAATATTCAAGCCAATAATAAGTATAAGAATTTCCAATCCGCTCCACCACTAAGTTCCAAGTCATAGAAGTAGAGACGACCTATCAGGCCCTCTTAGGGAGGAGAACTTGGCTCCACAGATACGCCGCGATCCCCTCCACCTACCATCAATGTGTCAAAGCAATTTACAACAATGAGATAGTAGCCATAGCTGGCTCTCAAAAACCATTTCGGATAGATGAAGCTCACATAGCAGACGCAGTGTTTTACAATCACGTTGAAAAGAACGAAACCCCTTTGTCATTTCAAGGAACTCTCATACCAAACTGGGATGACCTCTCTAAAGAAGATACATCACCAACTCGCAAAAAGACGTTCGCCAAGTTGTAGCCCTCAAAAAAGCTCCCTAAAGTGACCAAGCTTGAAATAGAGGATGGCAAAGTGGTATACCGTTGATGACGGTCCTTGGGGTTGGAAAATGGCACCAATGCCAACCCCCAGCCAGACGTAGTAGCAACCGCCTATCATGAACCAAATGAAAAAGATCACCTTTGCTGCACTCTATCTACACTGGCCCGACGCCCTCCAAGGGCAAAGAATAAGAAAAGCAAGGACAAGAGAAACAAAAAGGAAAAAAAAAAGGCATGGTTCCTTCAATCACAAAAAAAACATTTTGACAAATCCAATGGGCCTTCAACAAGTCACTTGGATGTTGAGTCCCTCGCTAAGGCAACTTCACCCCCTGACCAAACCCCCGCCCACTCGATTGCAATCCTAAAGAAAGTTGGGTTACAAGAGGTTGGCCTGCTCCAGAGTGCTTACAAGACGACCCTCAGCTCCAAAAGCAAGAATTGGAAGAAATCAACATAGCCTCTGAAGGAAAACCCAGGCATCCTATCTTCATTTGCAAAGATTTGCTAGAAGAATAGAAAGGGCCCCCCGTCGAGCTAATCAACAAGTATTCAGACGTTTTTATGTGGACATATGAAGAAATGCCAGGCCTAGATAAAGAAGTTACCATGCACCGCTTGAACGTCATCCCCCTGGCTCGCCCAGTCAAGCAAGGTGTCAGATTTTATAGGCCTGAGGTAGAGCTCAACATCAAGGACGAGGTGATAAAGCTACTTGGAGTGGGATTCATCAAACCTATCCAGCACCCCACATGGCTTTCTATCATCGTCCCAGTCATAAAAAAAGAATGGACAGATTCGAGTGTGCATCGACTTCAGAGACCTGAACAAATCTTGCCCCAAAGATGAGTTCCCACTCTCAAACATAGACACCTTGATTGATTTAGCAGCTAGGCACCATATGTTCTCATTCATAGATGGTTTCAGTGGCTACAACCAGATTAAAATGGCCCTAGAGGACGCTTCGAAGACGGCATTTCGCACTCTCATAGCTAACTTTTTCTATACCGTAATGCCTTTTGGATTACAAAACACGGGAGTAACATACCAAAGAGCTATGACAGCCATCTTCCATGATATGTTGCACAAAACCTTGGAGTGTTACATTGATGATTTGTTGGTAAAATCCAAAGAAGAAACTAGTCAACTCAAAGACCTCCAAAATTCTTTGAACGTTATAAGAAATACAGACCGCGAATGAACCCGCTTAAGTGTGCATTTGGAGTCACTGCCACGGAATAGACCCCGATCCAGCAAAGGTCGCCGCCATTAGAAACATGCCATGACCAACAATATAGACGAGCTGAAAACTATCCTTGGTCAGGCATTTTATCTGAGACGGTTTATCCCTGTTATGGCTGAAATAACACAATCAAGTTCATGTGGAATGAGGAGCACCAAGAAGCATTCGAAGGGGTGAAGTTAGCTTTAACTTCCCCCCTCTCCATGACTCCTCCTCAGCCGGCGAGGCCTTTACTCCTCTACATCACTTCCACACCGAAGTCAATCAAAGCTTTGCTCGCCCAGGACATCGACGGACTCGAATGACCTGTATACTACATAAACAGAGTTATCCAGGGGGCTGAACTTCGATACTCCCCCATCGAGCGGCATTGCCTCCCCCTAGTCTTCGCCGCCAAAAAGCTCCGACATTACCTCCTTTCTTACTCCATCCATCTCATGACCACAAGTGATCCCATCTGATTCCTCCTCATTTGACCAGCTCTCTTCGGCAGGCTATCTCGCTGGCTCCTCTTATTAGTAGAATATGATATCACTTGTAAAGCTCCCAAGGCCATTAAGAGCCAAGCGCTGGCTGACCTCTTGGCTCACTTCCCCAGCGGAGAACATGAGCCGCCCTCTGATGAACTGCCAAGAGATGAGTTCCAAGTTGCTGAAGTAAATACTGAAGGAGCTTGAGCTTCGATAGGTCATCCACTTCTAAAAGGGGAGGAGCTAGAATAGTCCTTCCCAAACCAAACCGAAGTCAATTTGTCATATAAACTGGAATTTAGATGCTCTAACAATGAGGCAGAGTATGAAGCCCTGATACTGGGGCTTATGGTGGCACTCCATCTAGGAGTAAGTCTCTTATGTATCAAAGGCGACTCTAATCTGGTGGTCAAGCAGACCAATAGAGACTATGCTATCAAAGAGCCCCCTCTGGCTTCATACAGAATCATCGTCCAAAGGTTGACAGACAAATTCAACACGGTAAGGATAGAACACGCTCCTCACTCCAACAATCGACACCCGGACGCCCTCACCACCTTGGCCTCTAAGGTAGAATTCTCAAAAGAATCAACCAAGATAGTCCTGAAAAGCTCTGTGCCATGCTTAGTAACAACTATCTTCCCTAAAAAAGAACCCGTTGACTAGAGAGCCCCAATCATCAATGAGCTTCGTGCCCCTTCAGGTAAATTACCTTTGAGTGAGACCAAACATTTCACAATTTACCAAGGAGTCCTCTACTACAGAGGGCCCGGTGGTTTATTGGCACGATACATCAACCTTACCGAGGCCAAGTCCAAGTTAGAAGGGGTGCACAACCGCTTGCAGAACAGGAGACGTGAGCCTCTACAGGAGGCTACAACGACAGGGATATTATTGGCCTACCATGGCCAAGGAAGCAAATGACCTTCAAGCGAAGTGCACCAAATGTCAGGAGTTCCCTCCAAAGGCTGAAAGCAACTTCACAGAAATGACCTCCGACTAGTGTCAGGTATACATAGATTACCTCAAAGAAGAGTCATTGCCACCGGACTGCTCCGCAGCCGCAATAATTAGGAAGCGAGCTCCGAAATTCTTTTTGCAAGAAAGGCAACTTTTCATGCATGGCTTTGACGGGAAGCCATTACGTTGCTTATCAGGAGCAGAAATCCATAAGGTTTTGGAACTTGCTCATGAATCAGAGCACCAGGGTAGAGCTAAGCTATTCGGACATCTCTTATGTATAGGCTATTATTGGCCTACCATGGAGGTAAACACCATAATGTATGCCAAACGCTGCAAACCTTGCCAACTCCATGGAAATCTCATTCATGCACCGGCCACTGATCTACATAGTTCGAGCTCACCATGGCCCTTCCATACAAAGGTTTGGATCTTATTGGCCCCATCTCCCCACCATCATGGGGACACATATGGATTGTGACGGCTATAGAGACCTATACTACATGGGTAGAAGCCATCCCTCTAAAAAAGGCAACAGGAGCCGCTGTCTCCAATTTCATCCAAGAATTCATCATATGTCGTTTTGGTGTACCTAGAATAATCCTTTCAGATAATGGCATCCCTTTCATCAACCACCAAGTCAGACAACTCCTGGTCTTACAGAACATCCAACGCCTTACTATCCCCAAGGGAATGGGCAAGCTGAAGCAACCAACAAAACACTCCTTAGAATCCTTTCAAGGACTCTCAAAGGGATTGGGCACACATGCTCCCAATGGCACTCTGGGCTTATAGAACATCCAAAAGAAGGCCAACTCAGATGACCCCGTTCTCGTTGGTATACAGTACGGAAGCAGTTCTTTCGGTGGAAATTGCCATACCCTCAGCTTGCATGGCCCTCCAAAGTGGAGCTACTCCAGACCCTCAGAATTGGAGATCCTTGATGAAAGAATGGATAAGACCAAGCTAACCTCAAAGTTTACTAGAGTCATGTAGCTCGGGCCTATGATATTTTGGTATGCCCTAGATAATTCTAAGAAGATGACTTGGTAATTCAAGCTGCACCTCATGTCATGAGGGGAACCTCTACCCACAAGTTCACTCCCAAATGGCAAGGATCCTACATAGTAAGAGAGGTTAACGAGAATGGTTATTATAGAATTTCTAAGCCAAACTCACAAGCTTTCTTGAGCCCTATCAATGCCAAGTGGCTAAAAGCCTATTTTCATTAATAGTGAGGAATTACCCCTAGGAAATTTCCTATTACTGATGTAATCAAAATGGCGATGTAAGGCATCGGCCCATGCTTACGATAAATAAATAAATAAAAGAAAAAAACATTTGCTATCTACATTACTTTATGTAACTACTAACATGCATCAAAAAATAAATAAATAAACAAATAAATAACAAATAAAAAACAAAAATAAATAAATAATAATAATAATGATGTACATAGTACTTGAAGGTTTTTCATCACAAAAAATGTTAGCTCAACTCACTATCACATGAGCTCTCAACTCTCCAGCACATAATAATAATAATGTATATAGTACATAGGGTTTTTCATCACAAAAATGTTAGCTCAACTCTTCATCACATGATGAAACTCTTTGACTCGCCTAACTTGGACCTATTTGGCTATCTAAGTCAAAAACCTCCCCTTCCACACTGACAAGTTGAGCCTCTACAACGGCTCTCCTCTCCCTCAAACTCGAAATCACCAAGTCCACATCTGCCAGCACCTTAGTCGTCCGCTCTAACTCCATCATGGCCTTCTCCCTAGCTAACGCAGTCCCCATCAAAAGCTGGTCCATTTCTGCCAACTCAACCTCGAGCCGACGATTCTTCACTTGAGCCTCCATGCGAGACAAACTTTCTCTAAGCCAGCTCACCTCAAACTCATGCCGCTGAAACTCAGCCACAGCAGCCCGAAATGACTGAAATGTGTCAATAGAAGTCTCCGAAGTAAGGCCATGAAACTCTCTAAGCATATCGCAGAATGCCTCCAATAAATAGCGTCTTAAGAACACAGCTTCCAAACGCATGAAAGTGCTTGGCCTGTGATCAAAAACAAAGTTCAGCCTAGGCAAATACTCGCCCCGCACGCCAGCAAATAGTACCTTGGGATCAAGAACCCGCTCCCTGCCATCAGGCCCTGCCAAGGATATACAGCCATCATCAAGACGAGTCACAGTAAACTCGCCATCCACAGAAGGTAAACTCGCTTGACCGCCACAGCGAATCCTAGGAACATTAGTCTCATCTTGAACACAACTGCCACTCTCATCAAGTGGCAAAATGGTAGCAACTCCAAACAAAGCAGGCAAAGTACCAGGCTGCATATCCACTAAAGGCAGGCTAACCTGAGCACCAACTAAAGGTAAACTAGGACGAGCATCAACCGATGACAAGCTACTACTCCCATTAAACAAAGAGATGGTGGGGACTCCACCAGAAGCAAACTCAACTGAATGTGCCACCAAGTGACCTAACTGCAGCAAAGGAGTCGCAAAAGTCACTCTATTCTCAACACATGGCGCAACAACCTGAGATCTTGTCTTATCAATAGGAACATATGCCTGCTCAAATGTAACCCTAGCAACGTCACCATCTCTCGCATTCAGATTAGCCTCTAAGTTATCCCCATCGTCATCCTCACTTTCAAAATCACTAAAACCATTAGCCTTACTTTGTCCCTGCAACCGACGACGCAGAAGCAAATCATCAGCAGAGTTCTCCTCTTCAGAAGACACACCTGCCGCCCTAGGCGCAATAGAAATATCATTAAGGATAGTTGACCTTTGTACCTGAAGAAACAAAGTGTTCAACTTAGAAGCACATAAAGAAAACATAACAAGAAAGAAAATCACGATATTGAGTAAAAAGCTAACCTTCATTCTCTGGGAAGGCTCATCGCTAGGCAAGCTCAGGTGCCGCTTAGTTGTACCCACTTCCCCTTGAAAACCATCCACAACAACCACCTTCGCCTGACTCACCACATCAAAATAAATAAATAAATAAAAAATAAATAAATAATTCTCTGCACAATAGGTAAAAGGAGAAGATGGAGGAAGTAACCGGAATACACAAAGCTCCGGTCAAATTCAAAATATACAGAATACATATTTCTACAAAAAGGCGAGCTCCCTATTCAAACAGGTTCAAACTATACCCAACATTTATACAAACTTTTATAAATTCAAATAGAGTATAGGTTCTTTGCGGCAAAAATGCAATGTTCCAGCAGAACGAGGAGCTCCCAAAAAAAAAAAAAAAGTATATATACATACATACTGAGGTTGTACCCTCCCAAGAAAGAATCCTTAGACCAATCAAAAACTCTCTTTGCTTGGTAGAAACATTAAAAACAAATTGCAAAAACCTTAAACTCTCAAAAAAGTCACTTTGCTAACAGCTACAAAAACTATAGCTATTAATGGTCCACTCTAAGCCAACAACTATTACTTCAATCGGTGAGTTGTCCTCTCCATGGAATTGCTCATTCCCAACATCACCATGAAGCTGCAAAAGTTAGTAAACTCATCCTCTCTTTCCCGATGCAATCCCTATATGAGAGAGCAAACACAACAAAACAAGAAATGCAAGTAAATTCATATTCAATTGCTAACACTCTCCTCTCAACTTCAACAACCCATTCTCTCTAAATGGCTTCCAGAGGAGAGGGACACCAAGACAACACCGTTTGGCGGCCAATGAATGAGGCTCTAAACCAGAGAGGTTCAAAATATAGAGGTTCAAAATATAGAGCTTCAAGCTCCAACTCTAGAGCTTTGAGCTCCACTCCCACTCACTGTCGCCACCAGATGTGTGAGTTCTTTCAAAGGATGCTCTCCATGCCACCACAGCAATTCTGATGTCTGCTATTCGAATCCCCTTGGATCCAGTACCCAACATCCACTTATACAGTCGTAGAGGTGTTAGAAGAATTCCGGGGTAAAATAAGAGGATGGTACAAGGCATTAACGTCTCCAAAGCTCTACACAATACCACCATCCTACACTTGGTTTTTTTCTAAACCAAGAATCAATCTCACTCTCCAGGGATCCACTTGCTAGGCAAATCAGGTATTGATCCCACACTTCGAGATGATCCGAATCAACATCCTCCCACAAAGACCGACAGAAAGAGATCTAGACCACCACATTTCCATCGTATCAGCACCATTGGAAACCCCAAATAAAGATTTGGGACTTGGATGGGACATAGAGAACTTCGCAGATCTCAACATGGCAGAAGAGAGCGCTTCCCGTAACGCTTAGCCAAGCATTTCCCACAACACTCCGCTCAACATCCTTTTCTTCAACACTGAGGGCACCACTCGCCCTAACTTCCTCCAACACTACATGCACCTACACTCTTATGGATGCTTCGATCTTGTCATCATTACGAACACAAAAAATAAAGAAAGCGGAGCCAAGTTTATGAGTAAAATCATAGGCTTGGGCTATCCTAACAGCAAGGCCATGCCCCCCCTCCTAGTGGTATGGAAAGGGTGACGAGCGGAATTTGGTGCCTATGGAATGAAGCTAAAATCACATGTGAAGTAATAGAGATCCCGTGGAATGAGGTCACCGCCCAACAAGCCCACATTTTCATCCGACCGATTCGTGCCAGATGATATTAAAATGTATCTCTCTTTAATTCAAAAGAAATCAAACTTTATTAACTGAATGAGTTATATTTTCGACATCATTGTCATACATGTATAGACACTCTCATGAGAATATCTGTACAGGGGGCACTAATGTGGGTATCTATATTATGCTTGGCACATGGCAAGCCCAACGGGCGTCACGTCAGCACCACTACACATCTACGTGGCAGACCCTAAAGGCACCACGATGAGTATGTCATCACCATCACACACCCACGTGTTAGACCCCTGAGGTACCACGATGAGTTGGGGTTGTATGCCTAGCCTAAGCGGGGGCATGTACCACTAAGTATGAAAACAAGGACACAACTCACTTTGACAGAGCTGACTCACCTAGAGCCCTCCATGAACTCAAGAAATATATTTTCTACCCACTCACCCCAACTCCATAACAACATAGCCGGACTCTTGGCTCACCTATGTTTACTTAACTGCTCATGATGAGCCCTTGGCTCATCCATGCACTCACTCTCTTGGTTGCCTAGGTTGGGAGCAAGACCTAGGCACTCCTGCTTGAGATCATTGGAGGATTGTGGATTGGAGGCTAAGACCTCGAGATCGTCAAGGTCGTGTAGTTGTCTCCCTGTAGTGACAGCTCCCTCTTTGACCTGGCTTAGACAAAGGGACGTTGACTTTACACTTACATCTAATGCACATATGATACGCCTCTCAAGATATCATACCTACAGCTGCAACTCCTATGATGCAACCTTCCCAAGGACCTGAATCATAGGACACAAGTAGTAGGGCTGATATCACCATCCTGTCAAGTCGAGGAGAACTTGCCAACTGTCTTGAGGTTGCTTGGGCTCTAATACTCCTACAGTCTATATAACGGCATCATAAGTGCAGCCACAATAGCACAACAAGAGCAACAAGAATTCACATAACATACACTAAGTCTTCAAGGTCTCTCACTACCGCCCATTTTCTCTCTAAGCTTGCCTTGGTCTTCTCCTCTTCCACCTCCAGTGATCTCGGGCCACTAAAGTGCCTACCATCTTCCCAGAGATCAACGGCCGATCGCCTCTAATATCTATCACCCACAAATGCTAACAAAAGCTAAAGAGATTTTGGTTTCAACTAGCTGCTATAGACAACCAGGCATTACAAAAATATCCATATTGCTGGAAAAAAAAAAGTACATTTTTATGTTAAGTATCCAAACCTATGAACCTATTTTGTTATGGAAGACTTACAACAAACAGAAAAGGGGATGGTTAATTTTCCTCCAAATTTTCTATGATGTCTTCACAGTTACACTGGCAGAGTGATTTTAAGTGGATGGGAATTTATTATAGCTCATCCTGATTTTTTGAATTCATGCATCGGAAACTCAAACAATAAAACAAGCAGATAAGTGTAAATGATCAAAACAAGGTTACCGAGATATTAGGGTCCTGGCCCAGCTGGGCAGTGATAGACATCCTCGAGGGCTGCGCCGCAAGAGTTTCATCTTCTAAAGTTCCTGTAATTGCATTCCCACGTTCAACCTGTAAAGGAGAGAAAGACAACCCCTGAGGAGAAGACAACTGTGATTTGTGCTGTTGCTCATTCCCCTGATCAACTGGCCCTTGTTTAACGTGAGTCATTGATGACAGAGCACCATTTTTCTGCTCTTTACCGGTTGATGATTGCCATTGAACTGAATTCTGTTGCAAAGTTGAATTATTTGTCAAATGGGTTAGAGTTCCACCGTGCACTCTCTTCGGTTCACTAAAAGGATTTTGTCTCTCAAAATTAGGCACATTCAACACATTCATGACCTGAGTTGATGTTCCTAACTGAGTTGCATCAATACTTTGATGAACAGGACCCTGCCTCATTTGTGAATCATGGGGCTGTTGTTTGAGAGATGCTGCTGAAGAATTAACATTTGTTCCAGAAAATGGGTGACCATAATTACCACCTGTACTTCCATAAATGGGAAAAGATGATTGTGAGAAGTGCAAATTTTGTTGCTGCTGCTTGCTAAGTCCTTGTATGGGGATTGTGGACCGCTCCCTTTCTTGGTTTATGTTACTCAAACTGGATGAAGACATTTGGCTTGCCGGCATACCATGTGAATCTAAATGGCGTTCCATCTCTTGGGATTTTTTACCATTATTATCCGTCGCTGCATTGCTTGAATCAGTCTTCAGTTGAGCTGCAGAAGAAGGAATATGAGAGGGGTCTGTAGGAGAGGTGACACCCTTCTGGTGAAGTTGTGCAAATGACTGGGGAGCCATTCCCTGTTGGGCACCAACAGGTGGCATTTTCAGATGATGTTGTTGCGCAGACACTTGAGACTGTAATGAGAATTGGTTGGGTCCAGTCTTTGAATTTCGAGCAGCCTGTTTTCCAGTTGGATTTTAGCACTAAACCTCAACCAAAATAGACTCAATATAATTAGATAATCGGTTTATATTTACCTGGACTTGCAATTTATACACTGCCATCTTGAGCCTCAAGTCCCCTACAATAGCTCTCGTGTGCCGGACAAATCCATCTTTGGATATTTCATTTTTCTGAAAATAGCAAAATATTTTACCCATTAGGATGAGATGTAATACAAAAGAAATCATCCCATGCAAGACATTCATAACAGTAAGCCAAATGCATGTCATAGACCCACCTTTAATTTATTATAAAGAGTATGAAGTTGCATGGCTCTGTCTTTATCAAGTTGGGGTTGTAAGACCGGAAGCAGCATGGCAAATGGAACTTGTTTTCCACAGTTCATTGGGTTCATTGCCTGTTCTGTTTGATGATTTTGAAAATTGGCATTTTCATCTTGGCTGGAAGTTTGCCACTGTGGAAATAACTGACTGAAAGCGTGATTGCTTCCTTGAGATAAAGCCACTGTTAAAGTTCAGCATATCATGATTAATCAAGAAGTTACTAACCATGGTGTACAAAAACAATAGAAAAGCCAAGACGTGAAATTACAAATCCGCAGTATACCTAAGAATGCATGCAAGTTAGTCACAGGCTTTAAGTTCCAAAATCTTCAAAAGTGAAACACTGATCCTTGATGAAGGACTCGCTATATTACAAAAACAATAATAATTGAACGAAAAATATTGTGCCATTTATATTGCAGTACCCTGCAATATAAACTCACCAATGTATTCTCATTACAATGCTCTGCAATTAATCATAAATAAATAATATAAACAAAAACAGCAAGCTTTTACAAACCAAATAGTTCCCAGAATCATCAAACTCATTGCTTACTCCTCACTAAGCTATCCCATTTGGACAACTATAACAACAACAAAAACTCATTGCAGCCTTATTGCTTAGTCCTCACTAAGCTATCATACTTGGACAACTACAACAACAAAAGGCAGGCTTCTCCCTTCCAGGCAGCAAAGTTAAATAAGTATACTTTTTCACTTTTTACAAAAAAATGTGAAAAAAAGTATAGAGCTAATGTGACCCAAAAAAGATAAAAAGATAAAAAAGTAGACTTTTGTAGGGGATGCCAAATAGTGCCTAACAAATGTAAAATACTATGTACAAGCTGGTTTACACAAATAATTAGCCAGGCTTCCGCATGGAATTTGGCATCTGAACCCGTAGGAAAGTTATCCTAGCATGTGAAATGTGGAAAATGCTAAAATCAGAATTCATAATTCTCAACTCAGCTCCCAAACCGACCAATGATTCAGTTTCTTATTACATTAAACTAAGGATGTGTTTGGTTCATAGATTTGGGTAGAGATTTGGAAAGGAAAAGAGAAAGGGAAAATGTGTGTGAAATGTAGCTATATTTCATCCACATTTCACATACGTTTTCCGTTTTTGTTTCCGTTTCCAAATCCTTACCCTGAACCAAAAACGGCCTAAGTAGGCGCTTACAGTCAAATTTGATTCATTGCATTAATTTATATCCTTAACTTTTATATCCAAAATAGCTATAGACGAATATATAATTATAGGTGGAGATTTCAATGGTCATGTAAGGACACATGGTGGATATGGTTTTGGTGACCAAAATGAGGCCGTAGGGTGAATCTTAGATTTCACAGTAGTATTTGATTTTATAGTAATCAACAACTGTTTAAAACAGAGAGAACATTTTAATAACTTTTAAAAGTGAGTCAAATAAGAGTCAAATAGATTATTTTCTTTTTAAAAAAATAGATTGCTTAATATGTAAATATTTATATATAAAAGAGCATCAAGATGATGCTAACAAATACAATGAAACCAACAAAACTACATATCAGCCAAACAAAGAATCAACAAAATCCAGAAAAAATAATTCTAACTCAACCCTCAATAACACCCAATAACACCCAACTAGACAACACCATTAAAAATTTATTCTTCAAACAAGACACCGACACTTGAACCCCTTGAAAAGTCCGACGATTACGCTCCAACCAAGCCAACTACAGAAAACACAGGGAAGCCTAATTCCAAGCCTTCCCCCGACGCCGCTTCCCACCCGACACCCCCTCCAACTACACAACACCTCCCTCATATTCCCCTGCTGCACCTAATTCAAGCCAAACAATGGAAAAATCAACCTCCAAAGCTAAAAAGCCACATGACAATGAAACAGCAAATGCGGGACGGATTTCGCGTCCTGGCAACACAGAACACCAATTGACCAAAATCTGACAATAACGAATCAAATTGTCCAAAGTCAAAATCCTATCACACACACCCGTCCACAAAAATAATGCCACTTTAGTTGGCGCACCAACAAACCACACACTCCTCCACAAGAATGAACAATCCACAAGGCCCACGTAAGCCCAGTAAAAAGAACCCAGCTAGAAAATCCCTTTAGCACCCTTAGTAAAAAGAACCCACTGGAACCTCACATCCCAAACCACCCTTCCATTTAGTGGAGACAGATATGACGCCACCACAACATCCTTATCGGAAACCAAACTACCAAACTCTAATCCCCACACCACATATCCTTCTAGAACCGCACCCGTACACCCCTTCCCACCCGAAAACTAACCCACCACCAAAACTATCACACCTAGCCAAATACCTTTTCACAAACCCCAACCATGCATAACCCTTACCGCACCCAAACCCCAACCACCTCACCCAATCTCATATTTTGCAACCACAATCCGATGCCATAGACGCTCCGTTTCACCCATAAACCGCCAAAGCCACTTCCCCAACCAAGCCTCATTGAAAACCACCAACTTCCTTAACCCCAAACCACCCCCATGTTTCAGACTACGCAACTCATTCCATCCTACCAAATGGAACTTAGATTCATCACCCAAACCACCCCAAAGGAACTCCAGTTGCAACTTCTCCAAAAGCTGAACAACTGATGCTGGAATAACATGCAGTGACACAAAATACATAGGAATACTCCCTCACATACTCTTGATCAACATCAACTTCCTATATTGATGAGTCCACCCTTCCAAACGACGCCAAACCCGCTCCACCACCCCATTCCGCACAACCATTGCTTTATAAGCTAACCCTAAAGGCCAACCCAAATATGGCATTGGCAAAACAAAAACCTTACACCCCATAATCGCCGCCAATCGAGGACCACCCACCATCAAATTTACTCTCAAAACTTGCAACCACCTCAAAACATAAAAGCACAAATCAAAGAGCACCTAATTGTGCTGCCTCAACACCAAAAAAAAAAAAAAGGAAAAAAAGAAAGAGGGCATCATCAGCATATAAGAGGTGAGACACAACAAACGGCCCACCACCTCCATGCCTACTTTGAAACCTTCCAGCAAACCCCCTTGCACCACTCCAAACAACAAACGACTTAATGCCTCCATAACCAAGATAAAAAGCAAAAGAGACAAAGGGTCACCCTAGTGCAACCCACGACTATTCTGGAAAAAACCCGCAAGGGTCCCATTCACCAACACCGACATCTGAACGGTCAAAATACAAAACCGCACCCAGCAAATCCATTACCCACCACCATAACCCATCTTCTCCAACACATAGACCAAAAATTCCCAATCCACATTATTGTAAGCCTTCTCAATATCAAGCTTACACATAACCCCTCGTCGACCTTCTCGGATACTGGAACCAACGCATTCATTTGCCACCAATACAACATCTAAAATCTAACGACTTGCCACAAACACATTGTGAGATTCTAAAACAACCTCCTTAAGGGTACCTTTAAATCTCCTTGCCAGAACCTTAGCCAAAAGCTTGTACACACTCCCCAACATATTGATAGGCCGAAAATCATGAATATCCTCCGCCCCACCTTTCTTAGGGATCAAAGCAATAAACGTCACATTGACACTCTTCTCAAAACACCCAGACTCAAAGAACTATCCAAACATGGACAACACATCTCCCTTAACCACCTCCCGACGGTGCGGGAAAAAAGCCAAAGTGAAACCATCAGAGCCCTAAACCTATATCCCCATTAAGCTCACACAACGTCCCCAACACCTCCCCAAGAAACGATCGTTCCAACCCTTCCCTATCATCATCTGAAATTCTATCAAAAACCACACCCTAAAGGCCTGGATGCCATTCTTCCCTACCCCCATGAAGAAGATGCTTATAAAACTCTATTATACCAGCACTCATCTCCCCCTTAGATTCCAACTCCACGCCATCCATACAAATCTTCTTGATCTGATTGACCCTCCTACAAGCATTAGCCATACAATGGAAAAACCTCATATTGCGATCCCCTTTCTTTAACCACAAACACCATGATTGTTGGCGAAAACTAATTTCTTCTATCTAAGTAACAGAACTAAACTCCTCCTTTGCCTTGTCCCTAAGAAAGATAGTTGATGTTGACAAACTCCCCCACACTCTCCTACTCATCTATCTCCCAAATCACTACCAAAATCGCCCACTTCTGATCCTCTACACACCCAAATACCTTTCTATTCCATTTCTTTAGATCATTCTTAAGCAACTTCAACTTCCTAGCCAACCTGCAATCTATGTTACATGGACTCTTCAAAATAAATCAAATACCTGTGTCGGACACCCAACACTCGGACAAGGATATGGGATATGTGTCGGATATTTTTCAATAAATACTTCTTATGTAATTGCATATAACACTATTATTATATATACATATTGTTGTATAATAATTATAAATGTCTTTTTAACACTATAAGTCACATATAGTACCATTTTATCTCACATACTTCATTAAAAATATAAAAATATGATATTTTTTTGCCGAGTCCACGTACCCTTAAATTTATAGTTTGATGAGTATGATATCAAGATACATACCCGCACCCGACACCCGTACCCAAGTCCATGCAACATAGCCTGCAACTAGGAGAGCCAAACACCACATAACCATTCCACTAACCCAAACCATACCCAAGAAACCTTCGAATTTCAACCATATGTTTTCAAACCAGAAAGGCAACGGACCACAACAAACTCCCCCACTATCAAGCAAAATGGGCCAATAATTCAAAACCGGACGAGACAACTTAATTTGGAGAACAATAGAAAAATGCTCCTCCCAATCCCCACTCACCAAGAAACGGTCTAAACGAGACATAGCTTGTCCTCCAAACCAAGAATAACAACCCCCTTGCAACGGCAAGTCAATCAACTGACCCTCATCAACAAATCTAGAAAATTGCCTCATCGAACTAACAAATATATGGCGGCCTGCCTTTTTCACCTAGAACCAACACCTTTAAAATCACCCCCCCGCACTCCACGGTAAATCCCACCTCAAAGTGACACATTCCAACTCTTCCCAAAAAGCAACACGCGGGCCATAACCCCTCGTAAAGACCCACCGAAAACCATCCTCCACACACCGAAACACACAAAAAACGGAAAAACCTCCCAACTCCGCTAGGATACGCTCATAATTAATTGAGCACTCCAGATCACGAAGCTCTTGATCCCCCTTTCTTTGCTTTGTCACCTCCACCGCACCCCCTCTAACCGGCACCTTCCTTAACCATGACGCCACAATCGTTAAAAACAACTGAAATGCTTCCTCCTCATGTCCCTCAAAGGACACCCCCAAAACATGACTCACCTCATTAATTTGACCTAACATCCATTTTGACACCTTTTCTACAAACGAGCACATCCTTACCCTGGAAACCCGTCTCCACTCCCATCTCATCCTGACCCTTAATCGCTACAATTGGTCTAGCCAACAACAAATCCACATCTTTCTTGCCATTAGCCTCCCCCGCCATAAAAATTGGCCCCCCTTCTCCATCATTAGTCAACCCATCAACACCATCATCTGCCAGATCCTCCCAACAATTAGGCACCACCACCATCGCCAATTCCCAACCACTCATTGGACTCGACACCTCGTTGAAGTCCTGACCAACCGAAGGTGTCAACACAGGCTCCAGCAATGGTGCCACATTTGCCACTTGAGAAACACCTACCTGATGGCCAACTAATACCCCATCATCTGCTATATCAAACACTTGACCCAGCTTGACCCATTGCTCCTCAGCCCTTTGCGTCGTAGCCACCACCACAACCACATGAGAGCCCACTACTCAATGACCATCAGCCACCACATCGATTGACCTTATGAACCCTAGATTGAACACACTCGAAGCCTATAACCCTACCTCCTGCGTTGGAAACCTTGCCAGTATCAGAAAACCAGCCTTGCAATGCCCTCCAGACACACTCTAAGCACGCCCACACTGAGCGTAACCTCGCTGGCCCAACAACCTTTGGAGTGACCCAAAAACCTAGTGTAGAGATGAATTTGGACCCAGATTATAGCCCCATCCGTACACCCCCCCGCGAAACAAGCTTGTGTCCAAGCCCATTTTGAAAACCCAACTTTCTATGACCACTATTCTGACCCTGCCCCTTCCCCTTATGGCCCAACCCAAACCCTACAACACATGGCCCAGTTAAGAGCCTAACAACACAATCCACACCAACTCCAACCCCAACAGGCCTGCCAATTTGTCCCGCCAATCAGCCCACCCCCTTGCTCCGATCCAACATTAGCCCATTACGTTACAAGCTCCAACCCATCAACCCGCATTGGGCCACTTCCAAGAAATTATAAAAGATAAGATTTTTTATCCTTACAAAGGAAACTTACCTAAAGAACCATTTAAGTTAATTGTACCTGAAAGGCGTAAACATAATAAAAATTTAAGATTTTTTTGAAATAAAATGTTAATTAGGTAGGGTCTTCTACTAATTTATAATACTTATGTGCTTATATTTTATTTTTGTAATCTTTTCAGAGACCAAATAGTTTTGAATTAAATTCTTTAGGGACTTAATAGATTCAATTGATAATTTAATTTAAGAACTAAGTAGACTTTGATTTATATACTTTAGGGACTTACTAGACTCAATCAATAGTTCAAGGACTAAGTAGATAATTTGGCAATAGTTCAGTGGTAGAAAGTGAAATTAACCCTAATAGAAAAGGACAAAAAAAAAAAAAATTATGATAAGTTGCCTAGAGATATAATATAGTGGGCGTTAGAGAAAACAGGCATGACTAAAGATTATATTAATGTGATAAAAGATATGTATGATAGTTGTAACTACAATTAGATCATCTATAGGTTGTAGAAGAAACTACTGAATTTTCAATCATTGTAAGGTTGCATCAAGGGTCACTTCAGGTCCTTACCTAGTTTCCTTAATCATAAATTAATTAGCACATTCAGGATGATGTCTCCTGGTGTATGTTGTTTGCAGATGATATTATTCTAATGGATGAAACTAAGGAAGAAATTAACGGTAAATCTTTACCTACTTTAATTCTATGGATTACATGATCTCCAACCTCGCCATTTTTACTAATATAATCAAACCTAGGTAACTTTAACAAGAATGTTCACTATTTGCATTCTTCTAGATTCCAATCTTCACTTCTCTAATATTTTTGCTTTTATTGTTACAAAAATTATATTCTATATATTCTGTTTTATTTCTATCAATTTTAAACATTTTTTTCACTTAAGTGCTTTTCTCCAAATTTCTAATTTAGTGTTAGAGAAGAAGCACTTGAGTAAAAAATATTAAAATTAAAAAAAATAAAATTGAAATCTATGAAATGTAATTTTTGTGACAATAAAAGTAGAAATAATAGAGAAGTGAAGATTGAAAATTCTCGTTACCTAGGTTCGATTATTAAAAAGGCCAGTGATGATGGAGATAATGTGATCCACATAAATAAAGTAGGTAGCTCAAGTGGAGGAGTGCATCAGACATATTACCGGATTGATGAATACCAATAAAATACGAAGAAAAATTTTATACAACAGTTATAAGACCAGCAATGTTATATGGAACAAAATGCTTGGAAACTAAGAAATAACATGTTCATAAAATGAGTGCAGCTAAGATAAGAATGCTTAGATGAATGTGTGTGACAAGATTATGAAAGATAAAATTAGAAATGAAAATGTCCATGAAACGACAGGAGGAGTCACACCATTTAGGGATAAATTGAGAAAAAATAGAACATGGTTTGGACATGTACAAGGAAAACTTATAAATACAACTGTAAGGAAGAGTAATATGATCACCGTAAATAAAAATGTTTGGGGGAGAAAACCTAAACCAACATGGATGTGGTACTTAAGAAAAAACAATTTTTTAATTTAACTAATTAACCTATCCCACTTGAGCGGGATACAAAACTTAGTTTGGTTTGATTTTGTAACTTTCTATAATATCCAAAATAGAAGCAAAATAATACAAATAAAGGAAACCCATTATCTTCTTCCATACTTGAATTACATGTTGTTTATTAGCTAATAGAGGGGCTATTCATGCTTTGATTTTCAAGAAATATAGAAAAGTCAGAAGAAAGGGGTTGTAGAGAGGTACATACCACTGTCGTCCGCCCCTGAATGCATTGTTTCGTCCTACAAACATATCATCATCAGATAAATAATAAAAAGATTCAGCCTTCATTAACTTCCCAGATTGTACAGACCCCCATTCTACAAATCCAAACAATCTCTACCGTATTTGTGTTTCTGTGCTGCGGGTGTGGATGCTGTGGTGGATGTGCATATATATATATATATATAGAGAGAGAGAGAGAGAGAGAGAGAGAGAGGGAACCTCGTCCTCTTCGAAGAGCTTCATAATGGAAGGGTCCAAGAAAGAGAGAATCTAGTCCTCTTCGAGGAGCTTCATAATGGAAGGGTCCATCACAATCTCTGATTTCGCAGGCTGGTGATTGAGAATGGTGTCCGTGTTTTGTATATGCTATGGGCAATTGATCGGTTGCGATTGCGAGGTGAATCTTTCCACTACCAAGACAAATCTGGTACCTCTTTGACGACGAATTGGAATTGGAATTGGAATTGGAATTGGGAAACTGAGGAAAACAGTGCAAACTTAGCCAAGGACAGACTGAAATCTCTGATCCGATGAGATATAAGAGCATTTCCAATGCACTAGGCATATAATACTTGTTAGTTAAAATGACTAGTGTGATTCACTTTTTTCAATTCCAATGCACTAGGCATATGATTAGGCATTTTGCCTCAACTCATATTCACTAGCTACATGTAGCTAGCCTTCAACGCTAGGCAAAATGTATTCATTCATTAGGATCATTTCCCTCCATCTATGTTGTTGACGTGGCATTCTATAAAATTAATAGTATTTGGATAAATAGCTAAAATAAAGAGCATGGTTGGAGTAAAAACATAAAACAGTTGATAGGCAAAATAAAATATATACTTTATAGTAATATTCAGATAGGTAAAATGCCTACTACCATTGGAGATGCTCTAAGCATTATGCTTTGGCTGCCATGGGTTTTTTTTTGGAAATTGGCCTCACTCAGTCCACTATTTGGACTGGACGCCGTTGAATCCGAGAGATTTATTACGGATTTTATTTTGATTATTTAAAGTGTTTAATGCATAAAATTTATTGCGTATTTTATGTCTATAAAAAATCAAATGATGGAATATGGATAGTTTCTTGATTAAAATAAATTTTGTTAACAATTTATTTTTAAAATTATATTTATTATTGATAAAAATGTGTTCCAATTAAGAAGTTATTAATATTCGATTAATATAATTTTTTATAGGTATAAAATACTCGACAAGTTCTACATATTAAACGGTTTGAATTATCAAAATGAAACCCGTGGTCAGCTCTGCAAACTCAACAGTATACTCCAGTTTATTATGTGAACTGGAGAGAAGTCTCTCCCGTTTTTTAACCCACTCCAACTATTTTTTTTTTTTTTTTTAACAGATATATATCCAAGAAAGAAATATTCATAAATTTATTCTGAAATTTGTGTGATCTAAATTAAATATGAATTGCATATTATTTGTTGGAAAGTTCTGAATATATTTTGAGGGACCTATTACTCATTCTTTCTTCCTCCACTAACCATGTGTAGTTGTTATTATAGTTCAACAAATGAATATTGATAAAATGATACTCCTATAATAACTTTGTTGTTTTCTAAATTGTTAACTAAAAATGTTATGTATTTTTACATCATAAATTTTTTTTTTTTGTAGAAATTTATCAAATTTTAGCTACAAAATCTTGTGTTGAATTTGACACCAAGTTAAGCAATCTATATAGTAAGGGTAAATTACAATTTAACCCTCTGTGATTTTCCTAAAAAAAACAGAACCCTCCTAAAGTTTCATTTGCGACATTTAAACCCCTTGTACTTCATATTAAAGTGCAATTTTGGACAAAAATGTTTGTTTAAACAGCGAACATGTGTTGCATGACCATGAATGATGAGTGGAGCACTTTTTTCCGCCCAAAAACGCATGACACATGACCAAAGCACCCTTATTGCTATATATATATATATATATATATGTATGTAGATGAACAACCGCCCAAACAACATAGAACCTCAAACCCAAATTTGCCCAGAATTTTCGAAAGTTGCCCACATTGCCCAGATTTTTCCAAAGTTGAAGATTTTCCAGATTTTGGTGGATGGCTTCTTCATTTTCTTCTCAAAGTGGACACTCAAGGACCAATGCTCCAAGACTATGTTATTGCGGAGAGATATCACCTGCAAAGACTTCAATGGCGTCTAGAAATATGGGTAAAAGGTTTTATGGTTATGCAAGATATGGGGTAAGCTAAAATTAAATTTTATTTTTTTGGAAATAAAGATTGAGTTTTGTTGAAAATGAATTTGTGGGTTCATATTTTTTGTTGTAGGCTGATGCAACTTGTGGCTACTTTAAATGGATTGATCCACCCATGTGCCAACGTGGGAGGGAGGTGTTGCCAAAAATGGTTGCAAAGATGAACCGGTTGGAGAATGAACTAGTAACAAGTCGTAGAAGGGAGAAAATATATTGCAAAGCTCTGCTTGGGGCATAGATTTTTTTCTTTATCATAGCAATGTTCTGGTTGAAGTCGATTGGAAGCATGAGAAATGGGTTGTTGTTGGGCCATGGAGTTTGAGATATAAGCAGCTTATGCTTTGGCTGCCCTATGGGTGTTTTTGGAAAATAGCTTCTCTCCATTCCATATAGTAGATTGAAGCGTACTATTAGACTTGTGGGGCTCATTATGGATTTCGTTTCGATGATCTGAACAATTCAATGTGTAAATCTCGTCGAGTATTTTATGCCTACAAAAAAACACGTTCATCGGATATCGGTAGCCCCTTGATCGGAATAAATTTTTATTAACAATTTATTTTAAAAATCATATATACTATTGATGAAAATGTATTCCGATCAAAGGGTTACCGATATCCGATCAACATAATGTTTTGAAGGCATAAAGTACTTGATGAACTTTACATATTAAACGGATCGAATTATCGAAACGGAACTCATGATAGGCCCTACGGGCCCAACAGTACTCTCGAGTCCACCATAATGGATTGGAGAGAAGCCTCTCCCTTTTTTTAACCCACCCTAGTTTTTTTTTTTTTTCTTTTTTTTACAGATATATATCCAAGAAAGAAATACTCATAAATTATTCTGAAATTTGTGTGATCTAAATTAAATATGAATTGCATATTATTTGTTGGAAAGTTCCGAATATATTTTGAGGGACCTGTGACTTTTTTTCTTCCTCCACTAACCATGTGTAATTATTTTTTGGGTAAGTAACCATGTGTAATTATTATAGTTTAACAAATTGATAAAATGATGCTCTTATAGCAACTTTGCTATTTTCTAAATTGCTAACTAAAAATGTTATGTATTTTTACATCATAAATTTTTTTGTAGAAATTTATCAAATTTTACCTGCAAAATCTTGCGTCGAATTTGACACCAAATTAAGCAATCTATATAGTAAAGCATGTGGGAGGTGTCAACAGCGGGTTTTTAAAAATATGTTAAAAATGTCCTATATGTCATTGTGGATGGCGATGATTATGTCAATCTAATGGTTGAAATTGTCCTACTTGACATAGAGATTTAATTGGATTCACAGGTTGCGCACTTTTTGTTAGGCCTTTTTTTTTCGTGCAAACATTTTTCAAAAGAAAGATTAGCGACACTAATAATATTTAGCACTCGTTTGGAAAGTGTATTGCCTTTTCGGCTTTTTAACTTTTTGGCTAGTTTTGCCTGGGACTAAAAAGTCTCGTTTGGAAATGACTTTTTGATTTTTTTGACTTGTTGTAAGAGAAAGAATATAATGATTATGAATTGGATGTGACTAAAAAGCCTATTTTGTTTTTCTATGACTAAAATAGCCCAAACCCAACCCAACCCAACCCAACCCAACCCAACCCTTCTTCCCAAATGAGTGCTTAGAGTTTGGTTGTTGGATCTTATGGAGTCCATCACGAGCCTATTTTGATAATTTGAATAATTTATTTTGTTAAATTTTATGCATATATCATTTACACAAAAAATTAAATTGATTCGATAATCATAGCTATATAATTTTTATTATATTTTGTCTTAAAAAAATAAATGATATCTATAATTTTAAAAATAGACTATTCATTTTTTTAATTGACCTAGAGCCCCTCTAGTCCTTAATCCGGATTAGAGGATGTTGTTCGGGGCTGTGGAGTCCACCACAAGTCCCATTTCAATGATCCAAACCATTTATTTTGTTGGGCACTTCATGTATATCAATCGCACAAAAAATTATGTCGATCCTATAATCTGAACTTATTCAATTTGTTGCATTTGTCACCAAATAAATGGATGACAATTGTAGTTTTAAAAATAGACCATTCATTTTTTGGTGACAAGTGCGATAAATTGAACAGACTACGATTATCGGATCAATTTAAATTTTTTTTTTGTGATTGATAACACAAAGTACCTACCAAAATGAACGATTCAAATTATCGAAATGAGACCTATGGTAGACCCCACAAGCCGAAACAGCACCCGAATTAAGGACTGGAGGGAATCCCACCTCCTTTTTTAAAAACAAATTTAATAAAATTATATAGTTATAAATATGTGTATGTAATGACCTGAAATAATCACCATAAGCTATCCGCAATAAATGTTACATACAACACTTGATACGGTAATTACCCACCATTAGTCCCAATCACTTTTACAGAAGAGTAATACATGCAGGTATGCATTTACAAAGCTTAACCCTAAATCTATAAAATATGTTACAAAATAAAGAAATAGGATGGAAGTTAAACAAATAAGAAATGTCCTAAGGGCTTGTAGCTTTCCAAGTCAATAGTTGGTTACAACAAAAATGGATTCGAATCCAATATAGTTAAAGCCCTTGGTTTGTACAAAAATAGACATAATAAATACACAAAATGAAGCTCTTGCTCCAAGTCCTCCCAAGCTATTGCCTTGGCGAAGGCATATTATCAGCACCTAAAAATGGTTTTCTTGCATAGGATGAGCCAAAGCCTAGTAGAAATAATCTAACACAATATATGAATCTTAACAAAGATATAAGGGTGAAATGCATATGTAATGCTCATGCCAAAGCATTTTAGGGAAAGTTACCTATAAATCCTAAAAGTTGAAATTGTATTCCATTTGGTCCCATAAAAATTCTATTGCCCCGTTTTGTCCTTTCCGTTTTGGAAAGACACAAATAGCACTGGTGGGAATATTTAATAGTTTTTTTGTGTAACAGGATTGCTTGGTGTAGGTGTGGGTCACGTGCCACAGTTGAAGTTTGTGGAATGGGCAAATGCTTCACAAGTGCCTTGCTTGGCGCGTGTGTTGGGTGCCACATAATAGGAAAGGACACTCAAGCTTTTATGGGTTTTGGGTTTGGTGTGCTGATTCCACATGCCACACACCTCGATCCGACTACGTACAAACGATTGGGTTGCCATATCCAAGATATACAACATTTGAATTTGGGTTATGTTTGTTTTTTATTTTTTTTGTGTTACATAATATCCGTTACGTTGGAGTGTCACATCATACTCGCTACATTGTTACATTTGAGAAAAGTGCACTAAGAAGTTTTT